GTTCAGCAGTATGGGGTGGGGAGAGGGGAGAGGTGGTAACAAGGGAGGCCCTTTGTGGCTGAAACTTGCTACTGGCCTACTTGGTGTTCATAAAAACATGAGAATCCTAAGTAGCCAGCAGGCGACGTTTCCCTGGGCCAGACCCCAGGTTCATGGTGAAGCCACAGGCCTAGAGGAGGTGCTCAGATCTGCAGTGAATGAGTGAATTAGTAAACATACATCGGTGTCATTCTCATGGAGCCAGAGGCATGGTGTGGGCTAGCCCCAGAAACACTGATCCATCTGGTGGTTTTTCTATGGGGTTGGAGTTTCTTTCTATATTGCCTGAAATGGATGCCCCCCAGCCCTCTGCCAAGATGTCTTCATGTTCACGTGTCCGTTTCAGTCTCCTAGACTGAAACTGAAGTTCAGAGAGGTTATGTGATGTACCTGGCATAATGTTGCCAGGCAGTGGCAGAATCAGAACCTGAACCCAGGCCTCATGCCTCTCCTGGGTAGAGAGCTGCTCTGGAGGGTCGCTAGGCCAGGCTGGTGGCAGGCTGCCAAAGACACTGAGAGCCTTGGACCCCCACTTCCTAGGAGGTGCTGCTCCTGCCCAGGCATCCTTGAGCCCATAGGGCATAAGCCAGGGTAGACTCTTCTTTTCCATCTCCACTAAGGGTTAGGCTTAGAGTTCTCTAAAAAGCAAAGTTGAGTTAGAGGACCTGGGTTCAAATCCCAGCTCTGCTGCTTACTAGCTATTTGACCGTGGATAAGTTACTCAGCTTCTCTGTGCCTCTGTGTCCTATATAGGGTGGAATATAAAGTAATGGTAACTATCTCACAGGTTGTTGGAGGGCACAAGAGGCCACAGGGGTAAAGTGCTGACTGCAGGGATTGGCAGATGTAAGCACTCCCTGCAACCAGTGATTCAAAACGTGCTAACTGCGTGCCTCCGGGGTGCCCAGCACTGTGCTGGATCCTCATAAATATCATTAAAATGTAATGGAAGTGGAGTACAAAGCAGAGAAGAGCCAAGAAGAAAAAGAACGGTCAGTGCTGTCCAGCCAGCTCTTGGAAGCTGCCAGGAAGAATGCTGTGTAATGGACCTGTCTCCTCTCAAGTGTCCATCTCTATCTACCAAGCTCTGGATGTTCTGTTCCAAAGACTGCGGTAAAATCCACCCACTTCTGCAGGGAGTGAATTCGGAGATAGTAGCACTAGGGAGCAGGGCTCCGAAAAGCCCAGGCCTGCACAGAGCAGGGCACAGCTAGATCCCCATCTCCTCTGACTTGAAATTCCCTCCTCCCGGCAGCAGGGCAGAGATCTCTCCTGACACATGTGAGAGCCCCGCGCCCACTGGAGGGGAGGATTACTCTGCCAGTAAATCCTTCACAACACCCCACCCCGCTAATAATCCTAGTGCTCAGAGGAAGAATGCTAAGCTGAACTCCCCACTAACCAGCTCAGACCAATTCCACACTGAAGCAACGGCCCGCGCTTTCCTTCTCTCCTTCGTTCTCCTGACCACTTCGACATGATTCCCTCAATCTTCCCCCTCAATTCAGTCCAACCATTAAATGGAGACATTTCCCTCACCCACACTATCGACTCCTTGATCCTATTCCCCAAGAATATTCCACTCCCCCTGCTTGCTTGCCTCCCTTCCACTGAGGCAGAGTGGGGGCCCTGCACCATTTTGTGACTGATTATCAACAAGGTTCTGGCTCCACCTGGCAATGCCTCAGAGGTTCAAAAGAAACTCCTACCTCTCTGTTGAGAAGCGAAGGAGCATATTTTCAAGAAAGCTTGCCTGATGAAATGTACATAAAGCCGATGCTACTGTGCCCAACTAGAGGGCCTTCAGTCCTTAGGGTGGGAAGTGGGGCCTCTGCTAACAGGGGAGGAATGAGAACTGTCTGCAGTCCTGGCAGAGCCCCTGTGCATGGTCTGTGCACTGCACAACTCCAGGGGGCACCATTCACACCATGGCACCCCTAGAGTTATGCAATGCAGTGGCTCTGAGCTAGCAGCCTCCTGCATTTCTGCAGAAGCTGCCAAAGGATCCCTATAGCCAGGTCCTCCTGCCCAGCCTTCCTTGTCCTCCTTCTCTCCCTGACCCCATTCTCCTATAGCCAGGACTACCTTAAATGGGGTTTTAGAGAAAATCTACCCTATAAATGCCTGAGGCCACGCAAAGCAACACATGCTTTGAAGTTTTCCATGAATGCTATGGGGGCAGGTCCTGCAGAATTTCATTCTGGTGGCTTTTTTTCTGATGAGCATGGGAGGAAGGGGGAAGTGATTGGCATCAGTACAGGGAGACAGGTGGGCAGCCCTGTGCCAGAGGTCATGCAGTCAGTCATCTATCCTCACCCACAGAGTTGGCTACTGGAAGTCAGTGGAAGGGAGGTGGGTAGGAACCTTTTATTTTTAAACCTGTACTGTTCTGATTAAGCATTTCTTTTTCCTCTGACCTTCACTAGGCCCATTATGGAAGATCAAACTGCCAACGAGTCAGAGGGAGGCCTGGACAAGTGACACATGGATTCAGGATGAGCCAGCCTGCTGCCACACTCTCAATGCTGTGGCCGGGCTGCTTCCCAGGCAGCGGCAGGAGACTGCAGCTAATCTGTGCTGAGCCTGCAGGGGACGTAGAAAAGGTCTTGCTGGAGCTCCAGGCTCCTGTCACTGGACCAGCCGTGGGGTGGGGCAAACTGCCCGCTCAGGCCCAGGCCACTCAGCCCTGAGGACCAGGCAGCATGCGAGTCCTGATGAATTACAACCTACCAGTTTGACTTTGGAGATAAACAGTCACTTGTTTCAGGGTAACAAAAAGATGCATATTTCTGCCTGTTTCCATCATTTGGCTGGAAATCATATGAAGCATGTGTGTTTTAAACACATTGCTAAGGAACTTCTGGATGCACACAATTTAAGATGAGAAAGGTCACAGTGTGGCCTGTGTTATACTAGGTGGGTCTGATAAGAGAATCTGGGGAATGAGGAGCAAGAATTGGGGTCGTAGGAGAGGTTTTCTGGGGACAGGGTGTTGGAAAGCACCAGATCACGGAGTACCATCGCTCCTCTCCTCCGGAGCATCCGGGCCCAACCAACACCTCACACCCCAGCCCCGGTCCCTTCTCTGGGTCCCAGCCACGCCCTCTGCCCTCCCCTCCTCACTCCTACTTCCCCTTCTGAGAACATGGCAGCCTTCAGTTTCCCCTCTGATCTACAGGTGCCCGTAAACAAAGTGCTGCAGCGACACCCGCTCCTCCGCAGCCGCCTCCCCACCCCCTACCCCGCAAAGTCCGGCACAAGGTTAAGCCTGGGTTCCATCGGGCGTCCCTGAAGGGCTCCCATACCCAGCTACTGGGTTCTCCCCTCTGCTTTTCAAGTCCACTGGGCTAGGGAGTCTTCCCTCCAGGTTGGAGCTCCCCAACTTCTGGGCCGCGCTCCCCCGTGAAACGTTGGTCCTGGAAAACCAGCCTCCATTAGTGCTAGCGTCCCTCAGCATGGGCACCCCAGACCTGGCTCTGGGGGCCACCCAGAGGTGGCCTCCGGTATTTTCACTACCTTCACCAGCCCCCCCCCATCACGGACACGCCTTTCACCATCTCGCCTTAGGAGGATTGCTAAGAGCGCCCCCCGACCCCAACTAAAAGCGCCAACCAAGGGCCCTGTCCCCTTCTGTCTCTCCCTTACCCGAAGCCCAAGATGGGAACGGAAGGCAAGCGCAAGATGATGCTACTGTCCCTGCCGGCCCCACCCAGACCAGCCCCTTCTGCAGTGGCCCGTATGTGGAACCTGCAGTATCCGCCCAGCTGGGGGGGACACCTGGGGATGGCTCACCAAAAAAAAGAGGAGCAGGTCGGAGGCCCAGGCAAAGCCAGGGTCCCCGCCCCGCCCTCCCTACTCCCCTCTGCCCCCTTCCCCCCGCCCCACTGCAACCCTCACCCCTCTCCGCACCCAGCCTGAAGGGGAGACCTTGTCCCTTACGCACGCCCCCAGAGTAACTCCTCGCTCTGGGAGGGTGTGGCACTGGGGGTCCCAAGCCCGCCAGCTCCCGGGCTGGGGAGTTCATGAGGAGGGGTCTCAGGAGCCCGGTGGGTGCTCGTTGTTTACTCTTGGTGCAATTAACCGGCTAGGCTGCGGGAGCCTGTGGCTGCGACATGCAGCCGCCACTCCCAGGATCTCTGCTCCAAAGCTCCCTCCCCAAACCCCCAGCCCCAGCCCTCGGCCCTCTCAGCCCCGCAGACTCACGTCTCGGAAGCGGTTCCAGTGCTTGATCTTGCCGCTGTACTGCGAGATGGACGACAGCCATTGCTCGTCCTCCATGAAATTGCCGGGGGTCTCGCCCTCCTTGAGCCTTTTGGCGTCGCTTTCGGCCAGGGCAGCTACTGTAAGGAGCAGCAGCGGCAGCGCCAGCCGCCCGCAGTCCGGAGCGCGCATCGTGGTCTGAATTCGACCTGAGGTGGGGGGTGGGGGTCTTGACTTCTGCAGTATTTTAACGTCCTTCTTCCCACCCCGCAGTTGGGGGAGCAAACGCCGTCGTCTTCCTCAGCCCTCCTCCTGCGGTCTGACTCCGGTGACAGACGGATAGTGGGTCGCAGCTGAAATGTGACCTGGTTAGGAGATGCACTTGTCTGAAAAAAACCCCAGCGCCGGACGTAGAGAGGAAGAGAGAATCAGAGAGGCTGCGCCAGCAGGGGCCGTGTCTGTAACTGTAGCATCAGCATCACGTTTGACATCATCATACCTGGTTTAAAAAAAAAAAAAAAAAAAAAAAAAAAAAAGGAGGAGATAGATTTCAAAGGGAAGCGCTAGATCAGAGCGCCAAACGCCAGCCATCCGCTGCCGCCGCAGAGTCCAGCCCAGCCCAGCACTTAGGGAGTTGCAAACCAAGGAATCTAGACCCGGAGATGTCCCTGCTGTCTCTCCAAGGCTGGAGAGCAAGAAGGGTGCCGGGTCTCCTCAGGGAAGATGGGAGTGAGGAAAAGACGAAACTCTCTGGTTACAAAGCCAGGCTCAGGTGTCTAAAAGGGAATTTGGCCACAGACACTCCTTCTCTCCCCTTGCCTCCCACCCAGAGGGGCCTGCACCACAGCCCTGACAGCTGGCTTCCTGTGAGTTATGGCTCTACAGTAATGGGTGGCTTCGATAAGACAAAAGCCATATAACAACTGGCTGCCTGAGAACTATTGCCCAGCCCCACATGCTCTTTTCAAGGCAAGGCCTGAGCACTGAATAGCTGGTAAAACAGAGGCAGATGTCCTCCTCCCCAAGCAACTGTTTAAGGGCTGCCACCCTTTTTGTTAGCTCTTCTTAGGGCAACCCTAAAAGGCAAATGTCTGGCTATTTCATCGGCCTTGAGGTAAATTTGAAAAAGGCACATTTGCTATTGTTTTGACTTCAGTTGATTTTAATAAGCCACTGGGGAAAGGGGTGTGGGGAGGCTGGGTTTGTTTGAGGTGTTTAAGTTTTTGTTAAAATTGTGATCCTTATCATTGCCTTTAGAAATGTGTTGACATACACATTTCTGGGCACAGTCCCAGGATCAGAGCAGAAATAGGGTGAGGTTTACATCACAAATAAATTGAAGAGGAAACAGATAATCTGACAGGACAAAACATATTAAACTTTTGGGACCCAAGCCCTAGATTGTGTTTTTATTTAAAAAAACTAACAAAAAACTTGGCTGCTGTGATGTTAAAAAAAAAAAATCAAAGGCAATGAATAACATGATCTTAATCAGTAGGAAAGAAACACAGGTTGAAAGGTTCATAGTCACCCTGAGTCTGGCTTGCCTGGGAATTCTGAATGCATCAATGGCTTGGGTTGGGGTCCCCTGGGAAAACAGAAAACAACAACTCCCTTTCCATGTTTTCTTTTTCTTTGCAGTTGGATTAAGAGGTGGTGCTGCAATGAGGCCCTGGCCATTGATGTCTACAACTCACAGTAAACAAAGCAGGCTTGCCTTGCCCAGTTGTACACAGCCACAGTGTACAATGGAAGAGCAATGTGTTGTCATAAAGACTGGGGATGGAATTCCTCTTACTAGCTGGGTTCTTGGGCAAAGTACTTAATCTATCTTCTATCTATAAATTAATGATACCACCCATCTCAGAAGATTGCTGTGAAACCCATGCAAAATTACATACTAAGTGCCTGGGCATAGTGAACATTTTTGAAATGTTAGGTCTTCTTCCCTCAGGTTGGGAAGAGGTGGCTATGATGTCCCATAGTTCTGAATACGTACTAACATTTGCCAACTTTTTCCATTTCAATCCTCGTCTTTTAGCAAACCTAATTACATGTCTCCAAGACATTGAGGAGGTAGATCCTAGATGTCATAGCTCTCCCATTCTAATACTATCTTATGAAGTCCCTGGTCTTCTGAAATTACTACAGTTGCCCAATAAAGAGTTTGGAAAGGCACTAACAAGATGCCCATCAATAAGACAATAGCTCTTTCCAGACCCCTGAAGGTCAAAATGTTTCCCACACTCCTCCAATGGGACCCACCTTCAAGCTGGGTCAATATTAGCCCTGGGTTTAAAGCAAATCAATAACAGTCCAGAACTGTTAGTTAATCCAATAGTAAAGCTATTTAGGAGGGAAAATCCAAATTTCCAGATGAGGGAGAAAAGAGGTGTAGAAAATGGACAATAAGTATTGTTTATAAAGAAGAAAAGGTTTTCCTAAATTTTGAGGGACTTACTGGCAGGTCAGCCTTGAAAGGGGCCCCAAAGCTGCTGGGTGTACCTGATAAATGGTACATATGTTTCATGCTTTTCTTCTGCTTGTATTTAATATTTAGCAATACAAAATGGAGGAAGGAACCTCAGTTTCCAAATAAGAAACTTAAATTTAACCACATCTTTAAAACCATTTAATCTCATTTCTAGATGACCTCACCAACATAAAAAGACAAACATACAAAGATGTTCAATCCAGAATTATTTATAATAGCCAAACCTGGAAACCAAATCAAGGTCCATTAGTTAGGGATCAACTAGTTAAATTATAATACATAAAACAGGCTATGGTACAGACATTAAAAATAATGTAGGGCCTCCCTGGTGGCGCAGTGGTTGGGAGTCCGCCTGCCGATGCAGGGGATACGGGTTCGTGCCCCGGTCTGGGAGGATCCCGCATGCCGCGGAGCGGCTGGGCCCGTGGGCCATGGCCGCTGAGCTTGCGCGTCCGGCAACGGGGGGGGGGGCCACGACAGTCAGGGGCCCACATATCGCAAAAAAAAAAAAATAATAATGTAGATCTGTATCTACTGACAACTAATGTGATCCACTACATATTACTGGATAAGACAAGCTCATTATAGAAAACCATGTATCACTTGATCCCATTTGGAAGGAAGTGACAGTATAGTGCAGCAGTTCTCAAACTTTCTGGTCTCAGGAGTCCTGTACACTGAAAGATTACTGAGGACCCCAAAGAACTTTTGTTTTTGTTTATGTGAGATATACAGTATACTGATATACTGTACTTGAAAATAAAACTAAGCCTGCCTCTCAATTTTTCTGTGAACCTAAAACTGCTCTAAAAAATCTTTCAAAAAAAACTTAATTAATAAAGTGTATTTAGGGCTTCCCTGGTGGCGCAGTGGTTAAGAATCTGCCCGCTGATGCAGGGGACACGGGTTCGAGCCCTGGTCTGGGAAGATCCCACATGCCGCGGAACAGCTAGGCCCGTGAGCCACAACTACTGAGCCTGCTCGTGACCGCGATGAAGAGTGGCCCCCACTTGCCGCAACTAGAGAAAGCCCTCGCACGGAAACGAAGACCCAGCACAGCAAAAATAAATAAATAAATAAAATTAAAAAAAAAAAAAAAAGTGTATTTAAAAATAACAATACCAAACCCATATTAACAAAATAACATTTTATGAAAAAAATTATATTCCCCACACCCACACACACCAAATTAATAAGAGTAGTCGTATTGTTACTGTTTTACACTTTGGCAAATCTCTTTAATGTCTGGCTCAAAAGAAGAAAGGTAGATTACCTTCTGCATCATAGCAAGTGTATTAGTTTGTTAGGACTCTGCCATAACAAAATACCACAGACTAGGTGGCTTAAACAACAGCATTTATTTTCTCAATAAATTCTGGAGGCTAGAAGTCCAAGATTAAAGTGTTGGCAGACTTGGGAATTCCCTGGTGTTCAGTGGTTAAGACTCCCTGCTTTCACTGCCGAGGGCCTGGGTTCAATCCCTGGTCGGGGAACTAAGATCCCACAAGCAGCAAAGCACGGCCAAAAAAAAAAAGAAAAAAAAGTGTTGGTAGACTTGGTTTCTCCTGTCTCCTCCTGGCTTGCAGATGGCTGCCTTCTAGCTGTCAAACACAGTCTTTCCTCTGTGCATGCACATATCTGATGTTTTTCTTTCTTTCTTTTTTGGTTGTCAAATGATCCTTTATTGAAATATTTTCCTTTGCTATCCTTAACTAGCTGGGCATTCCACTGCACCACTGTTGATGTCATCCATGATGTCATGAGGGTGGCAGCCATCAACATTGCAGTCCACAGACTGGGCAGTCTCTGGGATCTCTTTAATGGTTCCAGACAGTTCTTGAGCTAAAAATAAGTGCCACATCTGTTGGGCAATGTTGACAATCTCATCAAAAATTGTATGTCCACTGTACTTAATGTTCTGCTTCTTCCTGTCTCTTGGCCATTCCTTGAAGGCTTTGATGATCAGGGCAGAGGCAGAAGGAACTTCCTCAGTCTGGCCCTGTCTGTTCTGAATTGGTCAGTTTCACTGTCATTCTCGGATCCTTCCAATCACCAGTTACTAGGCAATATCATCAACCAAACTTTTTTGGAGACAGACCCAGGGAGATGATCTCGGTAGTCAGGGGTCCGATGTTTCTTTGTGTGTCCAAATTTCCTCTAGTTATATGGACATCAGTCAGACTGGCTTAGAGCCCATCCTAACAGCCTCAGCCTCATTTTAACTTAATCACCGCTTTAAAGGCCTTATCTCCAAACAGTCACATTCTGAGGTACTAGGGGGTGAGTGCTTCAACACATGAATTCTCAGGGGACACAATTCAGCCCATAATAGTAGCTATAATGGGAAGTAGCTAGTAAAAGCACAGCAGAAGTACTGAGAACAAACTGAGTTTCTCTCTAAAAACATGTATCTAGGGCTTCCCTGGTGGCGCAGTGGTTGAGAGTCCGCCTGCCGATGCAGGGGACACGGGTTCGTGCCCCGGTCCAGGAAGATCCCACATGCCACGGAGCGGCTGGGCCCGTGAGCCGTGGTTGCTGGGCCTGCGCGTCTGGAACCTGTGCTCCACAATGGGAGAGGCCACAACAGTGAGAAGCCCACGTACCGCAAAAAACAAAACAAAACAAAACAAAACAAAAAACATGCATCTATAACCTAAACCTACCAACTTACAAAATTCTAGAAAACACAAAAATATACGAACATATATTCTATTAACCATCAGTGTGATGATGTTACCATATCATATAGCCTCTGGAAAACTCCACTGTACACTCAGGAGAGAATCAGAGTGAAAAAGGCTAATTATGCCTTAATATTTTTATGAAAATAGTAGGAAATTCCCACCCCTCCAAAGGATCTCAGGGACTCTGAGGGGTACAAAGACCACATTTTAAGAACCACAGATACAGGCATTATGACCTTAGGCAAATTTCTTAACCTTGTTAAGCCTCAGTTTCTAAAATGAGGTTAATGATAACACCAACTTAAGTGGGCTTGTAAAGATTTAGTGAATAAATACACATTATTCACAAATAAATGACAAATGTGAGCATTCTGCTAATATTAGCTGTTATCATTTGTGAAAAATTACTCAGCAACATGATTCATGTGCTTAAATGCATAGGAAGTAGTAACCTCTGGATGAGGAAATTTATTTTTTAAACAAATATCTAAATTGAAGCATAACACTGGAAAAAGCATAAGACAAAGTAGATAGCTTGATGATTTTTCACACAGTAATCTTATTTTACCTTTGTTTGAGAGATCATTTTATTAATAACAACAAAAAAGTTACTGATAAACAACCACAACAGCAGCCCCTTTTCTCACCTATAGCATCCTTGGGTTTTGCTATCCATCTCCCTGTAAGCATCGAGACAGAATCTGCGAGGTGTTCCTTAACTCAATACCCCTCTGGTACCATCAGGTTCTCTTTGGCACAAGGAAAAGCACACAGTGCAAGAGCAAACCTGAACCAAGCTTTGTGTTATTATGAAGCTGGATTCTCATCCGTGTCCAATTTAGTAAACTCTGAAGTTCACTTAAAAAATAACCATTATAGGACTTCCCTGGTGGTCCAGTGGTTAAGAATCCGCCAATGCAGAGGACACAGGTTCAAACCCTGGTCCAGGAAGATCCCACATGACACTGGGCAACTAAGCACATGCACCACAACTACTGAGCCTGCACTCTAGAGCCCACGAGCCCCAACTACTGAGCCCGCACCCCACAACTACTGAAGCCTGCACACCGCAACTACTGAGCCAACGCATTGCAACTACTGAAGCCCACACGCTCTGGGGCCCGTGTGCCACAACTACTGAGTCGCGTGCTGCAACTACTGAAGCCTGCATGCCTAGAGCCCGTGCTCCGCAACAAGAGAAGCCACCGCAATGAGAAGCCCATGCACTGCAACAAAGAGTAGCTCCCACTCGCCGCAACTAGAGAAAATCCCACGTGCAGCAATGAAGACCCAACGCAGCCAAAAATAAGTAAATAACCATTATAAGAAACATTTGTCATGTTTCTACCAAGGGTATAGAGTTCATTTGGGGGTAACTCATTGTGCCCCTTCAAAAAAACACCAATATTATTCTCCATACCAAAGTTCCTTATATAATAACACAGATCTTGTGTAATAATCATGGTGAGAGATTTTTTTCCCCTTCTCCTCTTAGGGGAGTTGAGGGTGAATTCAGTGCCTCAAAAACCAACTGGAGTGATGTTAGGTGCAATTTAACTCTATTTCAGTACAGAATGAACTGCAAAGTGGTAATACTAAGGGAGACTGGATTATAAGCACAGAAGTAAATCCTCCATCCTTGACCCCATTACAGTTTGGTGAAAGGAATCTTGAAAAATTCTTGAAAAATTCTGGAATCTTGAAAAATTCTTTTAGCTCCATCAAAAATTATTTGCTCTCTAACACTGTTGCTCTTCTCTAAAAGTTCTACATCAAAACTACCTGCTACTCCCCCTTCTACAACAGTAGTTTAAAGTGTACTTTCTTTAGAGCTACATTGTCTCAAAAATTTGTCTATTGGCTTCTAGAAAGAAAACTTAAAACATAAAATTTTTTTTCCAATTCTATCAATACCTACAAACTTACAAAATAAACAAAAATACATAAGCACACACTCTATTAACCATCAGAGTGATGATGTCACCATATCACATAGCTGCTGGAAAACTCCACTTTACAAGCATGAGAGAATGAGAGTGAAAAAGACAAATAACTTGTGAAAAATTACAGTATAAGTCCTTAAACGCATAGTTACCTCTAAATACTAAATAACAGAATTTCTAATTCTGTTAAGAATTTAGCATTTGATATATAAAGTTACATTTTCCAAAGACAAAAATTTTTTTCCTAAAAACATTAAGTCATACCTCTGATACTCAAAAGAAGACATTTTTACTTCCTGGTCAAGGTTGCCCAATGGCAGCTGTCAGAAAGAAATCAGTAAGACAGAAGCGGGACCAAGAAGAGATGAGGGCACTGAATTTCAGTCAACTCTGCTATTCAGTACTACCTCTGGGAGCACTCATTCCCATATGCCATTTAACAATCAGAGGTGAGTGAGGTAAAAGCTCAACTTAAATAAAAAAATGACTATTACCAGTAGAAAGCTTTTTTGGGAAAAAGCAACCCTGCAGGCACCAATACGTAATTCCTGGATGAAAAATATGCTATGCTATTGAATAAGTGATGGCAGCAATGTATCCCAACACACACTGACTAAGGGGGGTCAAACTGAAACTATATAATAACACTAAAAGAAAAACACAGTTACTTTAGAAATTCATTTATTCACAAATGATCTGTACAGTCACATTGATAACAGATCTTTGAGTGTTATACACAGCCCTTACCATGTCATGGCCTTATTAATACACGGGATTCAGAATCATACTTCTCAAACAGAAAGTAAGAATCAAGATTAAGACTAAGGAATGAAGGAAAGAGAGAGGCCATGGAGGGAGAAAGGCTGTGAGGGGGTAGAGATGAGAGGTAACAACAGTGAGCCTGGAGCTCCACAGCAGAGAGTGTGGCAGGACTGATGGGTGGGGCAAACCTGTGCTGGGAGCTCCCTCCCTTTGCTGGTCTGCACCAAGGAAGGAGTGAGTGCCTTCTGTGGCTGACACTCTCCCAGGGAACTCTGCATAGTCCTGATGGTATCACCATTGCTTTGACTGCTGCTGCCCTGGGAAGTAAACAGAAAAGAGCTACAATACTGCAGCTCCATCAGTGGCATGGGAAGGTGAGGGTTAGGGTAGGGTGAAGGAACAGGAATCTAAGAAATGTAAAAGGTACCAACTTCAGAAGAAAAAGGACAGATCAAAGTAAAAGGTAAAAACTTTACCAGTTATTTTGCTAAAGTTTAAATTCTAAGTAGTAAAGGAATTGAAAGTAGGGTCTCAGATATTTGTACACCCATGTTCATAGGGCATTATTCACAACAGCCAAGAAGTGGAAGGAACCCAAGTGTCCATCGATGGAAGACTGGATGAACAAAATGTGGTTCAGTCGGCCCTCCATATCCATGGGTTCCACATCCGTGGAGTCAACCAACTGCAGACCAAAAATATTCAGAAAAAAAATTACAGAAAGTTACAGAAAGGAAAACTTGAATTTATTGTGTGCTGGCAAATATTTACACGGCATTTACATTGTGTTTGGTATTATAAATAACTTAAGAGATGATTTAAAGTATACAGGAGGATATGCATAGGTTATATGCAAATATTATGCCATTTTATATAAGGGACTTGAGAATCCACAGATACCAAGGGAGGTACTGAAACCAAGGGAAACCAAGAGATGAGTGTATATACATCAGATGGAATATTACTCAGCCTTAAAAAGGAAGGAAGTCCTGACACATGCTACAAAATGGATGAACCTTGAGGACATTATGCTAAGTAGAATAAGCCAGTCACAAAAAGACAAATACTGTATGATTCCACTTATATGAGGTATCTCAAGTAGTCAAATCCATAGAAAGAGAAAGTAGAATGGTGGTTGCCAGGGGCCTGCGGGGGTGGGGGGGAAGAGTTGCTTAAATGGGTACAGAGTTTCAGATTTGCAAGACGAAGAAGTTTGAATAGAGGAGATATTTCACAACACTACCAAACTGTATATTTCAAAATGGCTTAAGATGGTAAATTTTAGGTTATGTGTTTTTTATCACAATAAAAAACAAATTCTGGGTATCGATTAAAAAGGGGAAGGGAAAAATACAAACCTTCTACAATCTGTAGATATTATCTAGGTGGAGAGATTAATAAGATCACACACCTGTAATTCTCTTTTAAAGTATTAATATAAGAGTTTAAATGGTTGAGGCAAAATCAGTAGGTATATAAGAAATAATGCAAATCTGAGCTCCACTGGGCTTCAGAGGTACATTTTCAGAGAAGAGCTTTGGAAAGAGAGGTAGACCCTGTGAAAGATGAACAAGCTAAGGGTTACAGGCGTATGTTCTCCCTGTGCTCACAACCATCTCGCTGACAGTGCGATGACTGTGGACCACCACTAGACACCATGGTATCCTTGGGGAATCACCCAGGAAAGTTATCACCCAAATTTCCACATCCCTCCTTGGCAATTAAAATGATGATACTTTCCCTCAGCACCTTGTGAGGATGTTTAATTTCCAGTGTTTCCCAAGATCCACCTCAGGAGAAGTCAATTTGTCCACAGGAGGCATAGTTTCCAAAGCTGTCTACTGTGAACCTCTGAGAGATGTGAATTGAATTGAGCTTTAGGGTACCAAAGCAGAAGTTCTCAAATAGCTGAAAAGGAAGAATAAAAACTCAGAGTGAATATCCAAAGAAAATCATAGATGAAAACATTAAACATCAGATTCTCTTGTAAAAACACCACAACAATCCCGACAAACCTCCTGTGCTTTCTCTTCAGTATTTATTCTGAAAAATGATCCTGGAGAGGAGGGATAGGAGCAGGAGTGAGAAAAGAACAGCAGCTCTTTGTTGATTAATTGAAAAGCCTCCTCTGACAAAATGCACTAGAGAAAGAGGTCTGAGAAGTCAACTCCAAAATGTATCTATTGAGCAGATATGACCAGGAACTTGTAACAAACATCCTAGGGCCATACCCTGATCCATAGGGCCTAACAAAGCTGCTTCTATGACTTTCAGTTACTGACCATGCAGGATGTTAGTTTTGTTACAGCCAGGATAAAATTTGATATAATATATTCCCCCACCTCGTCAACAACATTTATTAGAAACACTGACTAAAATAAACAGAAGATAAGGTTCCTGCCCTACAAATAATTCTGATAACCCAGCGAGGAGTACAGAACACTTTCGCACACAAAACAGCCAGAGGAACACTTCTATTGAATGATATAACAAGTACAAATGATAATATTTATCAAAAACCTTTCATTAGACTTTGAATTCAAGCCAGCATCCTAAAGTAAATGCTCTTTACTACAATTCTTTATTTAAAAAGCTTTCAACTTTGTCAGAGGGAGGGATGAGCCACACTCTGAGAAAGACCTGCTCTTGTGATCAGCACATTTACAAGGCAGAATGCAAAATGACATCAGAATTCATTCGAGGAAAATTAAGCCACACTGCTTAGATAATGAGTGTCAAAGAGTAAAGGGCTGACCTTCTTCTGTTAGGATGGAAGAGTTGCTCTTTCTTAAAATGTCAGCACAATCCTGAGAAAGCCTTTCAGTACGTGAACCAACAATGCTTGAGTAGAACCTAAAGCTGAGACCTTTGCACATTAGCAAGTGACTGTCCTGTCTCTTCACTTATTTTTATAGTATCTCTACAGCCATGGACTTCAGCCACTGTCACCTTTCCTCTTCCTGCAATTAATGGCCTAGCGAAATGCCCGGGGTTCACTTAAAGTCTAACTTTATAAAGCCCAGTAAATACTGATTCTTCAACATGACATCAACTTGACCCCAAAGATCTATTTAGAGGTTGTGTGCCGCATTGTCTTGTCTTTCAGAAAGGTGATCAGCTCTTGCCTGCATTGATTTACACAATTAACTTCTCCTCCTGGCTTCAGCAGCCTGTTCAAACCATATCCACCCTTTTGTGTAAAGAAATACAGCCCGAAATGTTTATCGGCTAAACCCTTTGCTGAACGTTAATTTGAAGTGAAAGCCATGCCAACAAGGCTGACAGATTTACAGCTTTACAAACTGAAGCCTTCTAGGTACAAAGACATAACTAAAGGGGCAATAAAAGACAAGGCAAAACAAAACTAAAAGGGAACTCATAATACTTTCAACAAGTTAGTTTTTAGGGATTAGCAGTCCATGGTTCTTCTCTTTGTACCTATGCTTCCAAGTGATGGAGACACCACAGCTAGGAGCTGGAAAGTACTTACTTACCTCTGACTTCTCTTTGCCTTTTAAATACTTATAACCTCCAGACGGCATGATTTGCCAGGGAGATTTCTCATGCTTTAGGTTTGAAGCAAAGAGTAAATATGGTGATAATGAAGTTAGCTGGGATGTGATTTCAATGCAGTAATTACACAAATTAAGAGAAGACTGAACACAAATTCCCATGCTCCTCTAAGACAAGAGCAGCAGGTGGAAAGACTGAAGTCAGTCTAAACTTACGACAGGCATGGGGAGCCGGGTGGCTGTGGACAGACACCACCACCCATGGTACAAGATCATAATGGGTAAAGACTCAGTAAGATGAACAAGTCGAAGTACCTTCCTTGTAAACTGTAAAGCACTCCTGAAAAGTAAATAGTTCCTATGATGTTTACAACATCTCTCTGCTCTTCTTAACCTGTCCTTATTCTACCTTCATAGGCTGCCATCTTCTTCCACACCTTTTGATAACATCATAATCAAATGGATTTCTTATCCAAAGTCCGTAGTGCAAAGCCAAGCTTCATTTTAGCTTTTCCTGTCCCCATGTTCTTGTTCTCTCTCTGTTTATGATGATTTAGTAACAATTTTTCAGTTATTTTATTGTTTAGTCATTGTTTTATCTTTAGTCTTAAGCTTCCCTTTTAGCCTTTCCTGTCCCCATGTTCTTGTTCTCTCTCTGTTTATGATGATTTAGTAACAATTTTTCATAGTTATTTTATTGTTTAGTCATTGTTTTATCTTTAGTCTTAAGCTTCTCTTTTAATTCTGCCAATTATTTCTGGTGACTCGTTAAAATATAAGCTCTACAGAAGAAAGATCTTTTATGTTCTTCAAAGCTGAATCCCACTATATGCTGTAACTGTATCAATGCATATGATCAATAAGCATTTGTTGGATAAAATGACAACAAAATCGAATGTTGGAGATGTCTGTGTACTTTGTGTAGGAAAAGAGAAAACTATAACATGGCCTTGTTTAGATGGATATAAAAATCTCATTTATAGACCACCTAGGAATCCTTGAACAAGACTTACCCAATGGTATTACCTCTAATGTAACCTCAACTGTAACTACTTGTGAAGAATTTATAGTTATTAGTAATGGAAATTTCACATATTCCTTTAAATTTCTATGTGTTTCTTATTTGTCAAAGCCTAGTCTTAGCTCGAATTTCTGATCTAGAATGTCACTGAGCACCTGATATTATGCATTTTCATGTAAAGAGGCATATGATGTGGTGTTGTCTCCCAGGCAACTGCCATCTGGTTAGGGAGGATGGGGTATGTGTCAGAAGAGAGGCATGTTGATGACACGGGTGTGTTCACCTTGTGGAAAGTTACTGTATTATGTACTCAATTAAAGTTTACCTAAAACAATATAGGTGGCAAAGGTTAAGTGTGGGAGGAGAGGTAAAGGCAATTAATAAATGCAGTGGGAGGTAAGAAAACAATGGATGTAGAGGGCTGGGGCATCTAGAAAAGCCATCTGGAAGAGTCAGAAACTGAGCTGGGCCTTGTAGCAAGTCTAAGGCTTAGTGAAGAGGAGGAAGGAGGGCAGCATGAAGGCAGAAATGGGTATATGGAGGGTCAAGTAGGCCAGGTTAGATGTAATGGAGGGTTCCTAAAAAGAAGCAGTGAGAAGACTAAGGCTAGAGACATAAGGAGGGAAAATCAGATTAAGGGGGGCCCTGAGGGTCAGGTTCAGAAGTTAGACTTCATTCTAGACGGTGGGGAACCACTGAAGGCTTCTGAGTAAGCTGATGGCCCAAGATGAAAAACAAGGGAAATTAATCTGGGTGTGGCATATTGATTGTGCTGACTGGAGAAAGGAACAAGAGAAGAAAGAAAAGGAGACCAGGGTAGCAGTTAAACTGTGAGATACTGAGAGTCTACTGACTAAAAATAGTAGTAGTGGGCCTGGAAAGACTGGAGCAGATGTTAATACTATGAATGAAACACGGAACAGACTCCGTGATTTTCTGGATGAGAGGAAGGAGATACAAAAAGAAGATAAGTCATGGATGACAGGGTAAAGGGATATGTGAGGGTACCATTGATAGTGACAGAACATTTCTGAGTGGGAGCTATTTTATGGGGAAAAACAAAAAAAATTCAGATCTGTTTACACACTCATTCTGTGTCTTTAGCTGTGTGTCTCAAGCCCTTCTCCAACCAAGGGTTTGCCTGGTATGCTCTGAGAATATATATTAAAGACATGAAATCCGTAGCACAGTGAAGTGGAAGCTCATCACCATAAAAACTTTACAACTGTCTACTTTTTTAATTGAGTAGTAGTTCTCTATGTATTAGGGAAATGAACTCTGTGTGATGAACTGCAAATATATTTTCCCCCAATTTGTCATTTGTCTTTTGACTTTACTTATGGTGATTTTTACCATGTCAATTTAAATTTTTATAAACTCAAATATATCATGACAGATTTTTAAAACAAAGTTACCTAATGCCAATATTGTTATATATTAAAAAATCAAGGTGAACAACAAATATATATGTTGACAACAACACTAATGAAGTAAAGATCATAAGAGCTAAAGTTTACTGAGCAAGCATGCATGCCAGGCATTATACTTCGGGCTCTATGTGATTATCTGACTGCCTCCTCACAACCCCAAGAAGCAGATACTATTATTAACCCCCATTTTAGGGTTGAAGCTGAAATTTAAAAGGTTAAAGTAACTTTCCCAAGAATACACAGCAAGTAAACAGTGGAAAATTGACATTCAGAAAGCTGGAAAAGAAAAAGAAAAGGAAATTAAGATTCAAACCCAGAACTTATATACAAAACAGAAACAGACCCACAGACATAGAAAACAAATTTATGATTATCAAAGGGTAAAGGTGGGGGAGGGATAAATTAGGAGTTTGGGATTAACATATATATACTATTATACACAAAATAGATAGCCAACAAGGACCTACTGTATAGCACAGGGAACTACACTCGATATTGTGTGATAACCTACATGAGAAAAGAATCTGAAAAAAAAAAGATATATATGTATGTATAACTGAATCACTGTCGTACACCTGAAACTAACACAACACTGTACATCAACTATACTTCAATTAAAAAAAGAAAACAAGATTCAAACCCAGGTAGCCTAACTCTGAAGCCTGAACTCTTTAACCTCTGTACTCTACAGCCTCTCCTTGTGGGTGATGCCCCTTAAAACCTGGCCCTGTTAAACCAGAGATTAAGCTTGACTCACAAAACTCCCAAAGACTGAAATGAACATATTCTTTCCTTGTTATTCCTACTTTCATTGTCACTTCTTATCCTGGACCTCACTGAAGAATCAGATGGCTCTAGTTCAGCTAGAAGAATTTTAATTGAATTCTGGATGAAAATAAGCACAAATCAACTAAATGGCTCCATTTAATTAGGTACCTGAATGGA